TTTTTTTTTTTTTTTTTTTTTTGGCTGTTTTTTGGGGTAGGTGATTGTCCGGTGGGCTTAATCGTGTCAGTTAGATATAATCATGACATGCTGCATTGGTCGCTTTTTTATTAATATCTGTTGCCATCTGGTTCTTTTTTGTATGGTTTTTGTCAACATTTTGAGGCACAGAAGATCAGGACATGGTAATCATTAGTAGTTTGTTGCTTGGCTTGTGTCTGACATGCACTCTTCAAAGAAAGCTTGTTTATATTGCCTAGTTGGTTTGCATTATAAGAAGAGGAGATGTGAAGTAGTATTAAAGGCTAGACGGATCTTGATCTTTGAAGATTGACAAGATATGGATTTCCCCCCTTTTTTTTGCTGCCTGAAGTTTCTTTAAACTCCTTTGTCTTTTCGAATATATTTGATACTAGGCGAAGTAGCTAGAAGCTAGAGCTTCTAGCCCTTTCATTCTAATTCACAAAAAAATTGGGAAAGCCAACAGAAAGCTTCGATTCCGACTTCGTAGAGCTGGTGCTATTGTTGCCTGCGCGTAGGGCCGTCCCTTACTCCCGTCCCGGGGTGCTAAGGGGTTTTTGTTTTTGTAACAGACGGCAGTGTTTTGTTCATGCCTCAAATCAAGCTTTTGTTGCGACATGCTATGTTTTCTCCCCCATCGCTAGTAGGTTGATGGGTCGCACGCCCTGTGCACATGTTTTGTATATATGCCCTTAATTATCAATAACTTAGGGATTGACTATTTCAAGCTCTTCCCGGGACTGGATGGCAATTTTTAAACTTTCAGAAACTTTTTGTACTTTGGTTACTCTTCTGCTTACCCTCGACTCTTAATTATGGTCATTTACTTAGTATTTACCTTGCTTCGGATTCTTTCTTCTTGATGTGAAGGATAAAGTTGTGTTGAAGCAACAGAAATATCCATCTTCGTTGTTTTTTATTACTCACTTATTTTATTTAATATTTGGTTTCTAGGTTCAACCATGTGTCGGTATATGGAGTGATAAGTGTTCTTCAAAATATGGAAGGAGGCGTCCCTTTATTCTTGCTGGGTCTTTAATGATAGCAGTTGCTGTAAGCTGTGTTCTTCTGGGTACTTGTTTTGTTTCCTTTTTGATCAACAATTATCATCTAAAGTACTAGAAACCAAATGGTTATTTATTATTCTTAATAGGTGGTGTTGATTGGATTTTCTGCTGACGTTGGATATATACTAGGAGACACGAACGAACACTGCAGGTTCATGGAGCATCTTAATAAAAAAAAATTCTTTTATAATCTTTCTTGGCTCTTTCTTGTATCTGTTAATGTGAACAAGCATGCAATTCTAACTTGTTTGGTCATGCTCGTGAAGTGTATACAAAGGTACACGAATGAGGGCGGCTATTATATTTGTAATAGGCTTTTGGTTGCTTGATCTTGCAAACAATACGGTGCAGGTATTACCTAAAAGCACTAGGTACTTGTATTTTCCTTTCACTTCTGTATTAAAAGTATCTGTATGAGTTTTAAGTTTTTTTGTGACCATCTTTCAGGGTCCTGCTCGTGCTCTTCTAGCTGATTTGTCAGGTTACTCCCTCCCCTTACAAAAAAAGATAATAATTTTACTGTTACTATAATGCATTTAGTTTCTGTTGGCATGAATATATGTGACCTCAATTTAGTTTCTTGTTCTCTTTATTATAGGTCCTGATCAACACAATATTGCAAATGCGGTATTTTGTTCATGGATGGCTGTCGGTAATATCCTAGGTTTTTCGGCAGGAGCTAACGGAAACTGGCACAAGTAATATTTTGAACCAGATCTTAGATAACTAAATGTTTCCATACATGAATTTGCATTTGTGCTATTTGTTTGACCAAGGTTTTCTGAGATTAGTTCGTATTTTGTGACTTTTTTCTATATGATTCATGTTTGTGCAGATGGTTTCCTTTCCTTTTGAGTAATGCTTGCTGTGAAGCCTGTGCGAACCTTAAGGCAGCATTTCTTGTTGCTGTGGTGAGTTACTGATATCCTTGTAGTTCAATACTTTGCATGATGTAGGATTTTGCTTACGGTGATCACTATAAGAAGAATGAAGTAATTGTGCACTAATATTCTTCACCCATTTAAAAAAGAAAGATTCTCTATCATGTTTAGTTCTTATGCTCATGTACTCCGTAAGTGAAGTTAACTCTTTCATCTTTTGGCTTGTGACTGAAACTTTGTTCTCCAACTGCAGTTCTAACATCTGCATTTCACGTATGCAGCTTTTTCTAACCATATGTACTCTTGTTACCATATATTTTGCCGACGAAGTTCCACTTACTGCTGTAGATCAACCGCCACGTTTATCAGATTCTGCTCCTCTGTTGAACGGGAATGAACAAAATTGTCCTGATATTTTAAAACCAGAACTTAACAGTTTGAATGGGAGCAATGTTGAGTATGGATATCAAGAAAATAGGAATTTGAAAGATTCAAAATCAAAAATTGAGGAGAATCACAGCGAAGGGTATTATGATGGTCCTGCAACAGTGGTAGTTAAATTATTGACCAGTTTAAGACATTTACCACCGGCCATGCATTCAGTGCTTCTTGTGATGGCTCTTAGCTGGGTACGTACTAGTGTTCTTAATTATAATCTTGTTTCTGCTATGATATTTTCTCTTAGCTTTCTATCCATAAAAAAAAAGGTCATTACAATTTGCCAGTGGATGTAGTAATTTGTTATGTGGATCCATATATAGACCACTCTTGAATATTGTTTTTGGTGCTTGCATTTTACACGCAGTTATCCTGGTTTCCCTTCTTCTTATTTGACACGGATTGGATGGGAAGGGAAGTGAACCATGGGGACCCAAAAGGCAGTTTGACTGACAAACAGGTTTATGATCAGGGTGTCAGAGAAGGTGCATTTGGTTTGCTCTTGAATTCTGTAAGAACTCAGATATGAATACATTACTAGATCGACTTTTTTCATATATTTTGTGGTATTCTAGTTTGAGTCGATTTTGGATGTTTGTTATGGTGTTTATTTGCTTACAAAGTGTATCAGATCTTAATCTTTTGTTTGTTTGTTTGTTTTTATTTTGGTATAGGTTGTTCTTGGTATCAGTTCTTTCTTTATAGAGCCAATGTGTCAGCGAATGGGAGCAAGACTTGTCTGGGCAATGAGCAACTTTATGGTGTTTGCATGCATGACGGCAACTACTATTATCAGTTTAATATCCGTCAGTCAGTACTCTGAAGGAGTCGAGCACGTTATCGGGGGAAATTCATCAATAAAAAATGCTGCCTTGGCTGTTTTTACTCTTCTTGGTTTTCCACTCGCTGTAAATGTCAACGTATCTCTTTTTAATTTCTATTACGTCACACACCCTTGTAGTTAAAGGTTTCATCATTGTTCTGTTGCAGATAACATATAGTGTTCCCTTCTCTTTGACAGCAGAATTGACGGCTGATTCTGGTGGTGGGCAAGGTTCGGATGGTGTTCATCTAGTATTGTTTTTCCTGGTGTTTACAGATTAACTGGATTATGATACTTCAGAGACTGATTTTTTACAGGATTGGCTATAGGTGTTCTCAATCTTGCAGTTGTTATTCCCCAGGTATTATTGACAACGAACATATTATAGCTATTATAGAAAAAACAAAACTACTATGAAGGTGTTTAAACGTCATAGGAACTATCTGTAACAGCTCAAGCCCATTGCTAGCAGATATTGTCCTCGTTGAGCTTTTCCTTTTCCTTTTGGGCTTCCACTCAAAGTTTTTTAAAACGCGTTTGATAGGGAGAGGTTTCCACACCCTTATATAAGGGTGTTTTGTTTTCCTCTCCCGGTATTGACAATGAACATATTATAGCTATTATAGAAAAAACAAAACTACTATGAAGGTCATGGGAACCATCTGTAACAGCTCAAGTCCACTGTTAGCACATATTGTTCTCTTTGGGCTTTGGGCTTTTCCTTCCTGGTTTCCCCTTTAAGGTTTTTTAAAACACATGATAGGGAGAGGCTTCCACACCCTTATAAAGGGGGTTTCGTTTTCCTCCCCAATCGATATCGGATCTCACACCATCTTTTCTATTTGTTTAAGTACGTGCAGTAACATTTTAGATAGTATTAAATTACTTTTCGTTTTGACTTCAACAATTCTGGGTTGTTTATAATTGATTTGTTCAGATGATTGTATCCCTGGGAGCTGGGCCATGGGATGCATTATTCAATGGAGGAAACATTCCTGCATTTGCTTTGGCGTCTATATGTGCTCTCGCGGCTGGAATTGTTGCAGTTCTTAGATTGCCTAATCAAACCAACCGCTCTTTCAAATCCACAGGTTTTCATTTTGGTTAGAAACACTGCATCCATCATAGTTTTGAAACCAACTAGAAGAGTATGCATATGATCTCTGGCAGTGAACCAAATAATTCCTGGAGTAGCTCTTAGAAGCCTGGATGATCTCATAGTACCGTATACCTTCATTTAAACTATATGCATTCAGTATTCATATTCATTGATTTTTTCTTCCCAGATCTGTGGGTATCTATACCATAGGTAGTGTAAATTTTCGGTTCCTAAGACGAATAATGAAAATGTTTCAGTTCCATGTTTATGTTACGATAAACATGATTTGTTATAGAGTGTTGTATAATCAATCATATACTTAATAAGCATTCCTTGGTGTTTTGATGTTATTGCATTGTGGCACAAGGGTTGACTGTGGATGCACGCTTGAAATGTAGCTTGAAAGTTTGTTAAATTTGCCGAGGGAATATTTAACCAATATTTGTGTATTGTTTGTGGAAGCTATGGATGAAATCAGGTATGCAAGGAATGAGAGCATAATTGAATAGAGAGCTTCAAATGATTATCCTGGTCGAACGAAATCCCATTCAACTGTTGTACGTGACAGTTACGTTTCTGGGTTTGTAATATGGAAAGACGTTGCCGGAATTTTGGTGTTTTCAAGGGACGCACGGAACCGCGTCTCACGTCCGCGACTCATGAAACCGACCCGAACTTCACGCCTTGACCCGGTTCACGACTCATGCACACATCTGCGACTCCTTCTACTCATTTCCTAGGTTTTCGACCCTCGTGAAGCTATTATTTGACAAGGAAATTAGGGAGTTAGGTAAATTGCTAATAGGGTCAATCATACTTGGAACAACCTTAAAGGACGAACTCAAGAAGCTAAAGGCCAACCAAGTAAATAGTGTTACCATCAGCATTGTTATATTTGATGTTAACACATGGTTCGTAGTTCTGCATGTGTCATATATTTGATATGTGTGATATGTTTATAAAACGATATAACAATGATATGTTTATGAAAGGATATGACTATGGTATATGTATAAAACGACATAACAATTATATGTTTATGAAAAGATATAACTATGATATATATATGAAACGATATAACAATGATATGTTTAGGAAAAGATATGACTATGATATATATATGAAACTTATGAAACGGTATAAAGGATAAGTCCATGATATGTCCATGATACAATGTGACTATGAGATGATATGTGAATGATATGACATGTTACGATGTGATGTACTGATGATATGATAAATGTTATGTTGTAACATGTTTGGTGACATAGTATATGATATTACATGATATGTTGATGATATGAGATACGTATGATATGACATGATATTACACGATGCATGATATGACACAATGCACGATATGAATGATATAAGATAAGATGTGTCGATATGATGCACAACCCCGATTTATGCATGGAAACCTATGATGAAAATGATATGAAATGAAGGAAAATGGGAGGGGTTATCTTACGTGATAATGAATAAAAAGGTTGGCATCTCATGCATCATTGTGTGTTCATACATCGGGGAAAATACCCCTATTTCATGATGGTACAAACACATACATTACGAGACAGGAAAACAATCATTAGCTCCTAGAGAATGTCCGGCATCAACAGCTCCTAGAGAATGCTTGCCCAACTATAAAAGGGGCCTAGGAGGTGTGCGAACCGACTGGTGGGTCCATACTCGCACATGTGGACCGTGTGTAGAATAATAAATACACATCCAATTAACCCATTAAGGATAACTGCCTAAGGAAATATAGACTAATATGATAGGTTCCACTCATAATTGTATTTGTTTGCATCTAACCCGAATAGTGGAGTCATTTACTAAGTATTTCTGAAAATACTCAAGTCACGTGATACTTCTATTTCAAGTAAAGGCAAGACATCTTTGTACGGCTGACGATGACATCACAATTTGATACCATGACCCATGCATATAGTAGTTGTATTTATTTTTTTAGACTCAAGTTAGATTAGGGTTTTACTTATAATGTATATTTATTTCATTTAGTATTTCATTATGTCATTTTAAAGATATTTTTGAACACGTAAGTCTATGACAGTGTTTTATGATAAAATTGTAAACGCTTATTTCTACACAAAAATGATTATGTGATGACAACAATAACTTTAGGTAAGTAGAAATGTAGGGTCGATACCATTTTGATTATAAAAGAGATGTGCCTCTCCTACCTTCCAATTCTTTTTGAACTTAGAAGCAAACTTTAATGAATCTTTTTCATCCCCCCAATATGACATATTTAGATATTACAAACATTTACTGGACCAAATATAAATATTTAAAAAGTATTTTAAAGATGATCCCGAAAGTTCATATTCATCCAAACACATTTTATATATAATAAAATTTGAATAGCATCGATTTGTACATAATGTTCCGTTTTAATTTTAGTGTTGATTGTTTTTAAAATGTTCAAAATTTCACTAAAACCTAAAAAATTTAAGTCCAAAATTTCACCAAAACGTAACAAATATAAGTCGTAACACTTTCCTTGATCTCAAACACTTCTGTATAGTTAAGATTAATTATCATCCGAGAGCCACCCGTACAGTCTAAGAATCATTTGTAATTTAAACCCCAATTTATCGAGACTCTTAAAATTAGAGTTCAACAGTTTATGAAGATGAGTTTCGAATCTTCGACATTTTTAGTGAATTATATTACATATATTAACTAATTGAGTTACGCACGGGATCGTACCAATAAGAATGACATATATAACCACAGCAATATAAGGTAAAGACTAAATCCAGCTACAATCTCAATTGAAACCACAATCCTCATTGCCGGACAGAAATCCATCCAATTTATATACAGAAGAACAAAGCTTTTTGGCTACTGCCACTGTTCAAATACAAATTATTTATCAATTTCACCCATAGGAAACCATAGATGCATTCAATCTGGAATGAAGAAATCAAACCTCACATCAACAGAACCAGTCGTCTCACCGTTATCTTTGTACTCGATGTTCGTTATCGTTGCACTCTCGTCTGCTTCTTGATATTCTGCTTTCACCCTTCTCACAGGTACCGTGACAGAGTAAATGGTTCCAAGATCAGAATCCGTTGACATGCTCAACTCAACTTTATCCTTCGATTCGATTTCAACGAAGTCTGATAGAGCTTGCACTATGTTACTAACGATCTTTCGTTTAGCCTCGTCGCTAACTGCACATCGGTCAGCAAAGAGTATCATCTTTAGTCGCTGTTTGGCGATCAAGGCATTCGAATTTCTCTTCGATGTTGGAGTAGGAAACAAAATTCTCCAAGCTAAGTTCAACCGCTCAAAGAAGTTCATGTTTATGGCATTCAGAAGGAAGGTTTCGGCTTCTTGGCTTGATGTTTTCGATGACATTTCATAACTTTCTGAGCTCCGAGTAGTTATCTGTGAAATGCCACGCCTATTACGACTATCGATTGCCATGTTACGCCATTTTAGTGCAACATCATGACTGCTAAGCCCTCCACTTGAAAAGCCAGAGAACTCAACCTAGGATGAAACACAAATGCTACAATAAGCAACAAGGCATATCATCCAATTGTTTCCAAGTCAAAATTCAGAATAGCTTCCAACGAATTAGTTGGTTCAATTACAGAATAAGAATCATTCTGAAATGTATGATTTGTGAAGGTGAGCTCTTGGAGTTTTCCTTAGACTAGAATCTCTATGATTTTCCTTTCGATTCGGTATAAACCTAACAAAGATTTACATTTGAACAATGATAGAAGATGAAATAGAAATGAACTTCTCTCCCAACTGTTTAAGGTACATCACATTCTTCACTATACCCTAAATCTAGATTTACATGGTGGGTCTCACAACATTGATTTTAACAAGACCACGAGGAATATATTCAATAAAGATTGCACAAAACAACAGCCTATGGGCCAGGCAGAGAGAATTCCTGTCAAAAAATCTAAAGAAGTTTCAACCAAACGCCGCCACAAGCGATTGTCGTACAAAATGAAGGAAAACAAAAAGATGCTAGAATTCACGTAAAACCCTAGAAATCTGGAACACAATTCAGGAATCCGATAAATAATAATAGTAATACAAAAAGAACAAAGTGCAGAGCTAGGGTTGACAGCGCCTCCAATTCATAAATGCTCCATTGGAGAAACAGGCAAGAAAAAATTCACAGAAAGAATCAAAGAATTCATATCTTTGAGCCACCAGATTCCACATTCAGAGAAAATTTCCGACGCTTGGTTAAACAATGAAGCAATCGAAGGAAGAATATAAGAAGAGATCGAAAGAGAAGAGAAAATGGACCTTCGGAGAGGGAAAAGAAGTCCGACGAGGGTGAGGATGGTGAGAGCAGAGTGTTGCGGAGACTCTGAGATCTCCAGAAACCGCCATTTGCGTATGGGCTGTCGATTGTGTGTGTTCGTTTCCCTTCAGAGGAGCGCCGTTGTCGCTGGTGTGCACAGAAGCCACCCACTCTCGGCTTTCAGTGAGCACTGGCATTGATTTTAACGTATCAAAACGCTGTCGTTTTGGTTTATATGAGAAATCAAATAATTTTATGTGACGTCATTAATTTTGACTTTATAAATGGGAGTCAAGTATTTAATGATGAGAATTGTTTTTAAAATAATTTTAAAAATAAGATTTGGGATAACATTTAGTACAATCGGCTCAGCATGTGGCAACCATGGAGCCCCTGCGTCGTCAAAGCCAGCAAGGGTGGTGGAGAAGAAGATGAGTAGGGGATTCAGAAACCATAAAAAATAAAGGATCGGAGTTGCTAAATTAAGAGGGCTCTGATACCATGATAATGTTTGCTTAATCCACTGCACGTGTGAAAGTTATCCATTTATAATCAAATAAATTACAAGGATATGGAGAGAGTAATAAATGGAAATATCTAGATATTTGCCTTATAATAAAATTTCAAATATGATATAGATGGTAAACTATAATTTAGTACTAAATATCCTTAACATATATGCCTAACGAAAAAATATTGGGAAAAATTAAAAGGCATGACACGATTCTACTGGTCCTTTTTAGTAATCAATATATCCTTTGATTTTCAAGTAATCAATATACTGCCTTAGGAACATGATTCAAGTCGGGTATGTTCACCACATAACCATGCCCTAAAGTAGCACTATGTAACCCAAGTTCATTAAGAATATGAAAGTTGCTAGAAACCATGCAAGAAACAAGGACCAAGAATAAAAATAAAGAACAAGACTAAGATCATGACAAGAACCCTACCATATCCTAAAGACACTTTTTGTACTCACTTCATGTTTTCCATATTTTTTTTAGGAACAAAGAGCTAGTCGAAGACGGGAACGAACTTTGGAGCAAGTGCCATAAATAAGCCTCATTCATCGTCTACAACTCTATTTTTTTATAAATATTTTGGGTCCTCTCTTATTTTGTATTTGAACTACTTACGTCTGAATTTTACTTTGATATATATATATATATATTATGTTTTAAATACTTCTTATTACTTAGTCATCATTGAGTAAACTCCTTCGCAATCTGTGCTTCAAACAAGCCTGAAAATTGGGTCGTGACAAGGCAAGCTTGTAAATGGACCTACTAAACTTGACTATGAGCAAGCACTTGTTCACACTATCGAAATCTGACAAAAAAGAAAGGAACGTGAAAATTTATGAGTGTGCATTTGTATACTTTCATACATAACATGAGTTCAATTTTCTACGAGATGAACATGCACATTCATGGAATTTCGATCATACCAATACAATACATTTTACATCATAGTATCTTGTAAGACATAAACATGATTATAACATCATATAAGTCATATTTAGCATGGAAGTATATACATCATATAAATCATGAATTACCCTATCAATTTAATAATATATACGTAAAATACATGGGATACTTACTATTCATACAACAAACAGTTTCATCAAATCTAGATCGTAAGTAATCCAACAATAAGTTCATCAACTATTCAATCCAAAGTTCCTACACTCTTGTAAGCTGATCGTTCTTAAACTCAGTCTTAATCGAATTCAATTTCACAAATGACTTTCTATTCATTTAAGAGATTAGTTAGAACTTATTCGTGGAGCTATTATAACTTACCTTAAAAACAACCCTAATTAGGTCTAAACCTAAAACTCTCTAGAACGATCTAACAAGAAAAATGAACCAAAATCAGCCAAGTCAAGCTGAAGGACGTTGGCTGGAGCTATCAAGTTGTTGGGATGGAGCTTCTAAAGGATTGCCCCAATTTCAATAGGTTAACATTAATCAAACTTTGTTCTAGCACCAAATGGTAATGCACCTCCACATACTTTGTTCTAGCACCAAATCTCAAATTTTTCGCTAAGCGAACCACAAATTGGTTTTCACAATGAAGTAGTATTGGATAACCAACTTTCTAGTGCAAATCCTCTGTTAAGAACTTTAGCCATATATTTTCTTAAGCTGCTCCAGTCACTGCTCTATACTTTGATTCTGTAGTTAATAATAATACTATTGTTTGTCTTTTGCTACGCCAGGAAATTATTCTCGAACCAAGCTTGAACACATACCTAGTGATTGATCTTTGAGTATCATGGTTTCATACATGGTCAACACACAATATCCAGCTAGCATGCAGTTTTCACTTCTTTTGTACAAAAAACAATAGTCGATTGTACTTTTGACATTATCGTAAGATCTGTCGAGCCACATGCAAATGAAGTTTCTTCGGACTTTGCATGTACTGACTAATGACTCCAGCTTCATTTTCAAATCCATTTGGTTGGTTCATGTAGATTTTTTGGTCCAACTCTCCATGCAAGAAAGCAGTTTTTATATCCATTTGTCATAGTTTCCAATCTTTATTTACCGCAAGTGTTAGAGGAACCTGTACAATAGTGATCTTTGCCACTAGACTAAAAATATTTCATTATAGTCTAGTCCATATTGTTGAGAGAACCCTCGAGCTACAGGTTGAGTCTTGTATCTTTCGATTAATCTATCCAAGAGATACATTATTTTGTAAACCCACTTGCAAGAGATGAGTTTGATATCTATTGGTCTTGGCACTAGTTCCCATGTTTGATTTTGCTCCAAGGCTATAATTTCTTCCTCCATTGCCGATTGTCAAACCGTATTTTGTAATGTTTCTTCATACGTCTCTGATCATCTAAGTTGTTAAAGTGTTATTTGTTTTTCACTTATGTGGTATGATTTCTTCAATGTTGTCCAAACCTGGTAATACTTCTTTCTCCGAGGGCCACCATACTTTCATTACATCACTCTGATCGTCAATCATGTAATTTGAGCATCCTGAATCAATGATCTAGTCATCCTCATATTCGATACGTTCTCCCATCATTGTCATGAGCTCTAGCTCGTCTTGTTCTATGGGACATAGTACCTCTGCATCTCATTCATCCTCCATCTCCATGTCAGAGGTTGCCACATGGCTTTCAATAGACTTATAAATAGGACATCATGCATGTCGCCCACGCGTTGTAGTTGTTGTTGTTGAGTTTCTCGATTCCTCCAACGATTTGGAAATTACCCATCGTGTTAGCTATACCTCAGTAATACCAAACAAGTTCTTTCGATATAAAACTTGCAGAGTCAATGACTACTCACGACACAAAGAAACTCACTCACTAATAATCTCAAGAAATCGTTTAGGATGTGGAAGATCAGACAAACCTGTAACCACAGAGCATACTAAGAATAATAAGAAATCAGACAACCTACACCAACCTCGCTCTAATACCATACTGTTGAACACAACTCTTTGTAGGAAACACTCGCACTCTTTATTTACATCAATCGATAAGAGATTACAAGATAACTCCACTTTGCTCTAATTGAGACCGGTTGTTATGAAAACCTAGACGAGATGGAGGGTATTTATTGCCGAAACTATTTAATTATAGAATCTATTCCTAAAATATCTAAATATTTTTTACAAAATATCTAGGTATCTTTATCAATTAACTAAATCATTTTCCTAAAGTATCTGATTATTGAGGTCGACTCTATCGAGCGAGGGGTGATATTTAATCACGAACTAAATTTATAATTGAAGTATAAAATATTTGTATTTTTTTATTTATAAATTTATAGCACTTGTATATTATACATTTAACATGTATGCAAGAAAAGTAAATATAAACTCAAAGCCATCAAAACTGAGCAGCTCCTCCCAGAAACTGAACCATTTTTAAGGCTATATTTGTCATTTCACTCTCACAACGGGAACCTTTCGACGAGCTGAAAGCATTTCGTTCATTTGGGCGATCTGAACCAAGAGCTCACTGATTTTCTGGAAAATAAAATTAAATATTGTAATATAATATAATCTTCTCCCATCAAAATCTTACATCAATCCCTCTTAATTTATTTAAATATACATTTAATTCATTTTTACAAATTAGACCCTTATTAGCATTAAATTTATAAAATTAATTGGATAATTTTTAAAAAAAATCCTTCTGATCCCAAATTTGGATAATTTTTAATCATTTGAATTTATAAAAATAAAATAATTAGACTTTTATTAGCATTAAAATTGATTAATTAATTTGAAAAATGAAAAAAAAAAAAAAGAAAAGAAAAGAAAAGAAAAAGAAAAATGATTGGGTGTTGAAGAACGAACCTGATCCTTGTGTTTAAGGAGAAGAAGCAAACGGTGTTGGTTATCTGGACACACACCCGCAGTTGGTGGGCGCCATGGCAGCCGCATCTTGATCTTGATCTTGAACAGAAACAGTAGCAGCAGCAGGAACAGAGCCGCCGCCATTGCAGTAACCGGCAGAGCAGAGCATAGTCTCCTAGCGTGGAATCCAAATCCAACAATCCCAGAAATCACCTTCGCTTTAACAATCTCCCACCGCCTCATAATCGCTTCTCCGACTGCTCTCGATTGCAAATCCGAAGTCGCCGGAGAAGACGCCTCATCATCAGATGGCTCATCATCAGATGGTTCACCATCAGATGGCTCATCAGATGCCTCAGATGGTTCATTAGATGGTTCATTAGATGGTTCAGATTCATGGGAGGATTCGGAGTGGGCGTGGGCTGGGGGAAAAACAGGGGATTTGTAATGAACAAAATAGTCTTCTCTGATTACAAGCAAATTTTGAGCCTGAGTCGGGGCTTCAGAACCATCCATTGTGTTGGAGTTCAGTTGGATGGAAACAGAGATATTTGGGTCAGACAATGGCAGAAGATGAAGAATGTAGAAGATAAAGGATATTGGTGGCCTTTCGGGGGATATTTTCACATTTAAAATATCACACCAAAATCTCTCTCTCTCTCTCTCTCTCAAATTTTATATTTATATAAAACTAAAAATAAATAAATACGAATGTGTCATAGCCTCCTCACTTGAGTATTTTAAGAAATACTCATAAATGACCCCACTATTTATGCAAGTACATACAATCATGGATGAGGTCTATTCTTTCAATTTATACTCCCTTAGGCAATATTTATGCAAGTACATACAATCATGGATGAGGTCTATTCTTTCAATTTATACTCCCTTAGGCAAGTTATCCTAAATGGGTAATTGGATACTGTTCTATACACGACCCACACATACGAGTATAGACCCACAAGTTGGTTTGTGCACCTCCTGGTCTTCATTCTTAGTTGTGCGAGCATTCTCTGGAACTATTGATGTTGGACACTTGTTAAGAATAGCGATTGTCGCAACATTATGATAAACATAATGATCGTTTTCCTGTCTTATATCATATGCGTCCGTACAATCATAACAAGAGGATATTCAATGATGCATGAGATCCCAACATTTTCATTCATTATCATGTAAAACAACTCCTATTTTCTTTCAAATCATATCATTTTTCAACATAGCGTTTAAGGCATGTATCGGAGTTGAATCTCGTATGATTCATAACATACATGGTCTTATGTCATATCATGCACATAACATATCCTACGACATATCATATCATATTATGCACGTATCATATCATAAAACACGTCACAACATGTTTTGTATCGTCAAACGTGTTACAACATAACATATATCGTATCATCAACACGTCACATCAAACATATGTCATAACATCTCACTGACATTTCATAGTCATATTATTTCATAACATATCTTAGTCATATTTTTCATAAACACTCTTGGGCCAATGAGAGGGCAGGACCCCATTGTTTAGGTACCGAATTCAGCACTCAAGAGAACAGTTACTCTACTTTTTCTAAATGGAAAGGAGTGAATTCTATCTCGTGATATTATGTTCTCAGCTCCCTATTTGGTCAAGTCTCCAAAATATAGGTATATTAAATTGGTTACAAAAGTTATCTCTCTAGGCACGAGTTAATAACGTACTCAGTATTAAGGTCGAGTTGCATATGATCATCATGTGAAATATTGATCTTCTTAATTAACGAATTTATAAGTAGAGATTAAATGTTTGGTAGTCCAGTTTTATACAAACTCATTATATAAGATACTCACATTCACAAATCTCTACATAAATTATTTGAATCAAATCATTTATAACAATTATATAATGGGTTTGTATCAATAGTGTTATTAGAATAAGACACCCAACCTTATACATATGCTATAGATCGTTTAAGATATTACTTGAACATGATCCTTCTCTGTGTTAACTAATATAATGAATAATATTAAATTATAAATAAAATAATCAAAATTATTATTATAAATAAAATAGTTAATTAAGAGGTTTTAGGACATAAATCACAACATCAGTCTATTCATCAAAGTTCGATAGTCATACCACAACAACCAATTACAGATAATCTAACTAAATTCATCAATGAAGTTTTTAATTCACGATTCAATGTCTTAATCATGTTATTTCTATAGTAGCATAATAATACCTTATTCACTCACATTCAAGCCGATCCTATAAGTATTCTTTAGAAAGGTGTTCAACTTGGCTACTTACATCGATCGAGATCGTCTTCTTGTCTTACATTGTCATTTTTACTTGTCTAATTGCCTTGAAACTCTTCGATTAGGTCCTAAACTAAGAGAAAAGAAGTGATTGGGTGAAACGGATAAAAAAAAAGGGCTTAAAGTTGTCCAAACCTATAAATATAAATGTAACGCCCAAAAAAAAAAAAAAAAAGGGAGGGGGGCTAAGTCAACTAAGGGGCAAAAATGTCATTTTGTCCCTCCATCCCTAATAGGGGTCCAAGGAGAATCCCGTCACATCCCCTGAAAAAGAAAAAAAGAGTTAGAGAGAAATTGGAGAGGAGTCAGCCGCGAAGATTATCGGACCACCGTCGGAATCCATCTTCAGACGAGACTTGTACAAGAAGGTGGTGTAACAATATCCAGGCGTGTCATCGAAGCTATACTAATAGTGTTAAGCATGCAAGACTTCGATGTCATCTTGGGTATGAATTGGCTAGGCGAGAATCGCATTTTGATAGATTGCAAGACTCGAATAGTGACTCTTAGGCTCCCGTCAAGGGACAACTTTACCTACAAGGGAGCCACTTCCAAGGGTGCCTTAAGCGTCATAACATCACTAAGGGCTAAGAAGCTGATTCGTAGTGGCGTAAGTGCATTTCTAGCCAGCGTGACCTTAAACAATAGTAACAAACAAATAACCTCATCGGTACACATCGTCAAGGAGTTCGTAGATGTCTTTCCGGAGGATCTAGTAGGTTTGCCCCCAGCTAGGGAAGTCAATTTTAGGATCGATTTAGAACCAGGAACTATGTCGATCTCCAAGGCACCTTACAGGATGGCACCTGCAAAACTTAGGGAATTGAAGAAACAGTTACAGGAGTTGTTGGATAAGGGTTTCATCCGACCCAGTGTATCACTCTAGGGAGCCCCTGTTCTGTTTGTCAAGAAGAAGGACGGGTCCATGCGGTTGTGTATTGATTACAGGGAATTAAACAAGGTCACTATAAAGAATAAGTACCCTCTCCCGAGAATTGATGACCTGTTTGATCAGCTACAAGGAGCAATAGTCTTCTCCAAAATTGACCTAAGGTCGGGGTATCATCAGTTGAGGGTCAGAGAAGGAGATATACCCATGACAGCTTTCAGAAGTCGTTATGGACATTACGAGTTTCTCGTTATGTCCTTTGGCCTTACCAATGCACCAGCAGTTTTCATGGAACTAATGAACAGGGCGTTTAAGGAATTCTTAGACACCTTTGTCATAGTGTTCATCAACGACATTCTAGTATACTCTAAGTCAGAGGTAGATCATGAAAAACACCTAAGAAAAGTCTTGACAATACTGAGAGCATGTCAAGTTCTCTAGCACGCCAAGTTCTCTAAGTGCGAGTTTTGATTACAGTGGACCCAGCTAAGATAGAAGCAGTGATGAGGTGGCCAAAGCCGACTACAGTCACAGAGGTGAGGAGTTTTCTGGGGCTAACTGGATATTACGAAGATTTGTCCAGGATTTCTCCAAAATTTTCTCAGCGCTAACTCAGCTAACCAAGAAGGGCAAGCCCTTTGCTTGGACTCTAGCTTGTGAACAGAGTTTCCAGGAACTCAAGAAGAGATTGGTAACCGCACCAGTCCTTACAGTTCCAGACGGGTCAGGTAATCTCGTGGTGTACAGTGATGCATCAGGGAAAGGCTTGGGGTGTGTACTCATGCAGAAGGGTAAGGTGATAGCATATGCTTCTCGACAACTGAAGGAATATGAACGAAATTACCCAATGCATGACCTCGAGTTAGCAGCAGCAGTGTTTGCTCTAAAAATGTGGTGGCACTACCTGTATGGGGAAAAAGTACAAGTCTTCACCGATCATAAGAGCCTCAAGTACTTATTCATGCATAAGGAGCTCAATATGAGACAAAGGCGATGGTTGGAACTGATAAAGGATTATGACATAGAGATCCTATACCATCCAGGCAAAGCCAACATGGTAGTTGATGCATTGAGCAGGAAGGTCGTGAATACTTCTGCAATGATCACCACACAGGAAAGACTACAAAATGAGATGAAGATGGCTGGGATAGACATGGTGGTTAAAGGTGGTTAAAGGTGGTAATGTTTAGATGACATAGTTAACCATACAGCCTACCCTACGAAAGAAAATTATCGACGCTCAGAGGTTTGATGAACAGCTCAGTAAAGTGTGGAGTCAGACTGAGACAGAGAGGCCAGTAGGGTATTCTATCTCCTCAGACGGGGGTATGTTATGGTAAAACCGCCTGTGCGTTCCCCAAGACGAGGGAATCTTAAAAGATACTATGACCGAAGCCCATGATACATCTTATGTATTCCACCCTGGAAGTACGAATATGTATCAAGATCTGAATATATATTATTGGTGGTTTGGAATGAAGCGGGACATAGCGGATTTCGTAAGCCATTGCTTGACATGCCAGTAAGTGAAGGCCCTGAGGCAGTGCTCAGCAGGATTGCTACAGCCCCTGAACGTTCCTCAATGGAAATGGGAAGCAGTCTGTATGGATTTCGTCTCGGGATTGCCGAAGACAAAGCAGGATTTCAACGTCATTTGGGTAGTTGTAGACAGACTGACTAAGACGGCCCACTTAATTCCAAGAAAGTCCACATATCGAGTGGATCGGTGGGCTCAGTTATATATCAAGGAGATAGTACGCCTACACGGAGTACTAGTGTCCATAGTATCAGACCGGGACACCAGGTTCACCTCTCAGTTTTAAAAGAGTCTTCGGAAGGCACTAGGAACTCAGTTGAGGTTCAGTACAGCGTTCCATCCTCAAACGGACGGACAGACTGAAAGGCTGAACCAGGTTTTAGAGGACATGTTGCGAGCTTGCTCCTTAGATTTCTCTAGGTGCTGGGAAGAACATCTGCCTTTAATGGAGTTTGCCTACAACAATAGTTATCAAGCGACCATCGAGATGGCACCCTTTGAGGCACTGTATGGGCGTAGGTGTCGAACACCGATGTTTTGAGAAGAGGTAGGCATGCAGCAACTACTAGGACAAGAGTTGGTCCAGGTCACCAACGCAGCGGTGCAAAAAATCAAGCAGAGGATACTCACCGCACAGAGCCGACAGAAAAGCTACGCAGATGTGTGTAGAAGGGACCTCGAATTTGAGGTGGGTGACCACGTGTTCCTAAAGGTAGCCCCAATGAGGGGAGTGTTGAGGTTCGAAAAGAAGGGGAAATTGAGCCCAAGGTTCATAGGCCCCTTCAAGATTCTAGAAAGAGTTGGGGCTGTGGCTTACAGAATTGCCCTGCAATCGAACCTTGCCACCGTGCACAATGTGTTCCACGTATCTAT